AACTGCTCCAGTTTCTTTCTGCTCCAGTTTTGATAAATCCCCCCCCCCCCCCCCCCCCGTGGCGCCCTAGCAGCAGGCTGGCTATTGAAACCCCGCCCTCTGAGCAGCAGAAAGTTCTCTCTCAGGTCCGCTCCTCTGCTCAGTGGGTGGGTGCAATAGCCAGTTTCTTATTGGCTATTTCAAATTCCAATAGCAGGCTGACTATTGAAAAAAACGGCTAACAACATTTTTTAGCATGCACCAGGCAACCGACAATTTGTTGTGTGCTTCAAGCCACCAGTAAAGAAAAAAGAAATCAAGGGCATATTATGGATTCTTGAGAGTGCCGGTTGCTTGAATGCTGGATAATTGGGAGTTTACTGTAGATCAAAAGACTGATGACAACTAACATCTTCAATATTAAAAAGGGTTTGGTCTGAATTTTATGACACACGCAACTATGGTGATCTCTTCACATGATAAGAAATACAAGTCAAATATTTTCACAAAATACAGAACATTCTTTCTAAGTTACATAAAAAGAGCAAATTAATAAAATATGATTGTATTAAATAGCACACAACAGGTCAGGATCTTAGTCAGGGTTTTATTTGGACTTGTGTGTTGTTTTCCATTAAAATCCAGAATATCTGATTATCTCTCTCTAAATAATACAGTAGGGTTTCAACGCCTTCTCTTGGGGCTAATTATCACAGGCTTTTGTTTGCCTTTAAAGTGACACTAAACTCAGGAGTTAAATCCTAAAAAATGCATTCAAGCACCTTAAGTATTAACAATTAGACTGTGCATTCGGATTCAGTGCATTCAGAATCAGTTGATTCAGCGGTTCGTCTGAATCCGAAATATAGAATTTATTATATGCCCAAATATACTGAAACTATATTCGGGCATAGATAAATTAGTTTGCAGAAAGAGCGGCAGCCATATCGGCCGCCCGCGCGTTCTATGCAGGCAAGCTGCCATCTTTGAGTATATCTTGGTATACACCAAGACGGCAGCGCCCGAACATATGAGCACCACCATCTTGGTGTATACCAAGATACACTCCAAGATGGCGGCGCAATCGCAGAACATGCTGGCGGGCCGACGTGGCCACTGCTCGTTCTGCATTTTTTGTGTGACGTCACACTCTGAACGAGCAGTGGCCATATAGGCCGCCAGTGCGTTCTGCGCAGGCACGATGCCTTCTTTGAGTATATCTTGGTATACACCAAGATGGTGGCACCCAAACATACGAGTGCCGCCATCTTGGTGTATATCAAGATACACTCAAAGATGGCGGCGCGCAAGCGCAGAACGCGCCGGCCGACAACATGGCCGCCGCTCATTCTACATTCTCAGGCTTGTTGCCTCCAAATCCGAAACAGGAGAAAGATTTGTTTTCTTTAATGAAACGAATGGAAACGTTTTTCGTTTTCATTTGTTTCGCCACAAAACACATTTTTTTGCAGTGCACATGTCTATTAACAATAATGTGTCTTATTTGGGTATCACTCAGCATTAGATCATCAAATCATCTCTGAATTATTTCTGACACTGTCCTTCCTTCTGGAGGGTGGCTACTTTTGTTGCCCATTGTCCCTGTGTGTGTTGTAATGTAGCCACTGCTTCAAGCTCACTCCCGTGATGGACTACAACTTTAATACAAATTAGTAAACTAAACGGACATTGCAGTTCATCTTAACATGTAGTGTGTGTACCTTAAGGGGTACTTCTGAACGTTTCAATATTGATACTAAACCTTTTTAAAAGGCTTAGATGATGAATTTATTAATTTGTATGAATTATTTGTGGTTATTTTGAAAGTAAGGATTGTTTGGACAGCACTGATATACCTTTATAAATGTGGACATTTAAGAGACACCCATGGAATTCACACACAAGGAGGTGCTTGTCAATATTTACTATATTAATGGAATGCATCATGTAATGATGATATGAAACACTACAATATTCTGTTCAAGATGGAAAATCCCCCATTATTGTCTATGGCTAGTCACCTCTGTTGCCCATTGTATCTCTGCTATTACAAAAAAAAATCAAAGCCAATTAGGTGAAACTTTTTGACTCTCATTATTAGTTACGGTGACCCAACTATCAGAATGGCTCCAAAACTGCATACAGAACTGCTCCTAAATGATCGGCATTGAGCATCAATCTTGTATGTGTACAGCCAGCATTAGAGCCTTTGTCTATTAGCTTTTGTTCACGTCAAACAGCTTTTGAAAAACCCGCTTGAAGAAGGTCAACTGCAGGTCACATGCACCTGTCAATGATTTCTGAAAGATCTTAGAAGCATCTTAAAATGGTGCCATTGACACAAGCACAAAGCTCGTAGACATGGGGTATTCTGTAGATAAACCCAGACATTAGTATTTGACTAAGTGCATGTTCTAATGTTCCTGTTTTGTGACATTTTACCAGATTGACAAAGAATAATAACTGTGCTCACCAGGTGGTTGCTTGTCTTATGCACTCAAAGCTTGACTGAGGCTTATCCTTAATCTCCCTGGATAGGTAGAAGGCAAAGACCCGCACTCTGTCATCAGACCCTGAAACTGGAGATGGGATCTTGATGTACTGTTGGTTATAAGAAACAAAATATTGTTAAAAAAATAAAATAATGTGTCATTTTTAATAAACTCAGTCATGCATACAGCCCTTTCTAAATAGAAAAAGAATATCTGGCCAAATGCCATTTTTGTATGTGCATGTGCTCTTTGTTTATCCAATTCTGTAAACAGACTTTTTACATCAAAGAAGGAAAGGAAGAGCCTAGAAAATGTTAAAAGCAACCTAAACCGCTAAATGTTGCAACATGTCAATATGCAATATTTCATATTTACCAGACAAAAATAAAACATTTGTAATTAATCTTGACCGTAAATAAAGATTGATTAATGTACAAACCCATATACATCCCCTTAAACTGATACCATAACTAAACCACTGGCCACCATGCATAGACATGTTTTGCTTTACAGTGCTTTAACACATTGGTTATTGATGTAAAGTATTATCCTTATGTAAAAGTACACTATTTTATTAGAATTATTAGAAACAGATTAATAGCAATAAAAGTATTTACTTGTTTGTTATAGATAACAGCTGTACCTTTACTTTTCTATCTTGCACACTGTAAACTGCTCTGCTGTGTTCAATAACATGGAAGCACAGACATAGGAAGCTATGTTCGGTAAGCTGACAGCTGTTCTCTATTCTAGTATAACTGAAGAATATAAGTAACTGCTAAACAACCTTAACATGTTAATAATAGAGAATGATGATTGGCGAATGAATTCCCAGACCTCCCTGCAACAGAAGAATCTGTTGAGGTGGATTGTGATGCTCCCTAAGGACATACAATGCAGCTGATAACACTTTGACATTGATGTATATCCCACTTATGACATCACCTGGCAGGGAAACTGGCCCCTCATGGTTACGTGGTGCTGTTTTATTTGTAATATTTAATTTATTTGTTTTACTTGCATACTGTAAGTATATCAGGAAAAGTAAGCAATCAAATGTTGGGAAATGAAGCCAGGGTTGACTGTGTGCTCAGGTGAACCTTCTCCGTGAGAGTGTTAAAAACTGTTATGCATCTCCTTTGGGGGCTTATCCAGATGCTGCTCTGGATAACCTAACAATTAGGCAACAAAACCACTGGGGCCCTCAATCTGTAAACAGAGGGGCCCATGGGAGATCACAATTAGAATGACAAGAGCCTCAGGAGGGGCTCATGTAAAAGAGAAAAATCATGGGCTGCAAAATTAGAGTTTTAGCTGAACTTCTCAGATTGCTGATTCAAAACCCATTTAGACAAGTGTGATGAAATCACCATCGACAGCTAAGACAGCTGGATTTCAAGACATTCTCAAATATCAGTTTTGGACCGGTACCTGGTGTCCACAAGTGCTTTAAAGTTCCTGTATATTGTGACATGTCAGGAATTTATTCGTGTAGACTTGTAACGTTGCACTTTAAGCTCCCGTTCACACCTAGGCGTTTTGTCGCTCAAAGCGCGGCAAAACACTCAGGACAAGGAATCACATTCATTTCTATGACCCCTGTTCACACCTGAGTGTTTTGTCACAAGTTACTGGAAAAAGTGACTTTATGGACCTACAGTCCCTATCTTGTTCGTAACCCGGGGACTGCCTGTAAATCATTTTTTTTTAACTATACTCTTTTTCAGAGCAATGAAATGGGTAAAATGGCATGCGGTGTAGATCAATGGGTACATTGAAATGATTATTTCTCACTATGTAAGCAGTCTACAGATAAGTCTAATGTGTTTGCATGTCAAAAGGTGCAGCCAAGCACTTGTAATCAAGACTACGCTGCAGTTTGTTCTGTGATGGCAAATAGGAAATTTGGATATTAAGTCAACGCAGAGGAAGAAACATATAAAGAACGCATGACTGGTTATAGTTGATGTAAGATGATAACACCCAGCAATGTGATAATTCACTTTTACCAGAACCTACCAGCCTGTAAATGGACTTTATTATCCCTTTCAGGCATAAGTGAAATACTTTAAGCTCCGAATGCTATGTCATTTATTGTATAATCCAATCAATATGCAGACACCGCTCCTAATCAAAATACTATATTTATCTATTACTGGTACAATAAATCAAAAGAATAGTCTGTGGTTTTCATTTTAGGCATCCATATCCACTCCTTGAATACATGAATAGAGTGGTACAACATCAGGATACTGCTACTGTATGATCTATTGGTTTAGTACAGGTACAATATTCAATCTGAACCTGAAGCCTCATAATTTTACAGCTTAAAATGATATTAAAGTCAAAGGGTTTTTAATCTACTGTATTTCAAATGCTGATGAAATCACTTACAATGAATGCTGTTCCTTGGTGTTTAAAAGGTTTAGTTTCCTGCAAAATCAGCTGGTCAACTGAGCACTGGCCCTGATATACTGTTTTAGGGTGTCTCTATTCCCGTGCAGGATCCTATAGAGCCACCCTTGTGTGTGCTAGCAAGCTGCGTGTGTCCACAGATACACAGACACAGCAAGTCAAGCCACTTCCCTGCCCCCATTTTATTGCAGCGACACATGACACTAAAAAAAAGTAGCTGGTTTCGGCGAGGAAAAGTATCGGTACTAATACTGACTCATGATTGTGGGGGGACATTAGAGTGTAAGCTCCTCTGCTGCAGAGACTGTTGTGACTGGTTAAATTTTTTCTGTACTGCACTGTGGTATATGCCAAAGCTATCGTTGCTTGCATCCTCCACTGTGACTAATTTGTTTAGCAGAGCATACCGCGCGTGCCACGGCAGACTATAATACACAGCACATACTCACCGGGAGAAAATAGAAGTGAGCCAAGAAGCGAATCTTAAATTAACAAAGCAGAACTGGAGAATGAGGTGATTTGAAGCCCCACCCCTGCGATGGATCAGGAGCGGCAGCGGCATGACAAAAGAAGAAGAGAGCCAGAAGTGTGTGATAGGGACAGAGGGGTGTGGATGGAGAATTTTTTCCAGGGGGGAGCAACTTTGTGTCTTTGCCCCTGGTGACGGAATGTCTAGCTTCGCCACTGTGATACTGCTCACTTGCTATACATCAGTATTCTGTTCTCAATTAAAAGAGTTATAAAGTCCCAGCATATACTATCCTGTGAGAACATCCACATTGTAATAGGAATACATACTAGAGCTGTTTTTGATAATACAATCAGAGCCTGCTTGAAAAAAATCTCTTTCATGTAGTGCTGCCTTCCGTCTGCCCATCACTTTCAACTCTTTCCTGGATTCCCAGAGTGCTTTGCATCTCTTTCCCTGCTGCTTGATGTCACGCAATCTCAATTTCTCAAGACTACATATCCCACCCTGCATTGCTTCCAGCAAGCAATGATCATGTTACATTGAGTGAAGTTCAGATTTTGAATTGTGGTTCAAATGGCAGGCTTAATTGGAGTGGTGACACAGAGAAGTGCATATTCACAGGGCTGAGTGAAATTGTGTCAGTGCATTGAGGAAGTACATACTATAAGGATCTGTAATAAGTACGTTTGCAATTGTCTAGATTAATAAAAGTTATTAGGAGTGAGAACATATGGCAATTTAATATAGAAATTCATATTTATTCAACTTCAGTTTTTGACCCTTTCCTTTTCAGTTTTTGAAAACCTTTCAGCATTTCAATGCTTACACAGACACAGTCCTAAGATCTGGTCATTTTCAGTTCTGTATAACACAAGGTGAGCGGACTTGCTCTGTCACTGTTTTAACAGTTCATTGAACTCTATCGCTAAGGTCTCTGATAGTATACACTGAGTGGCCAGATTATTATGACCACCCCATCAGTACTTCGTTGGGTCACAAGATGAATCCACGAGATGACTTCGTTGGGCCGCCTCGTGACTCCACGAGATGTTGAAAGGTGATGCGAGGAATCTGACACTGCACTGTTGCCCTTCTGTTGTCTTGTATCAGCCTTGCCACTCTCCGTTCTGCCCTAACATTGACTAGTCGCTATCGGCCACAATTCGCACGTTCAGACCCAGATTTTCGGCTGACAGTCCAGTCTTTAAACACTTTAACAACAGCTGCTCTTGAACATTTAACGAATTCTGCTGTTTTGCTGATACTCGCTCCATGGCTCCGAGCGGCAACAATCACCCCACGTTCAAAGGCTGTTAAATCGCGTTGTTTACCCATATCTTCAGAAAACAATCACTTCTACTGTCGTGGTAAACGACCTGCTTCCCTATTTATAATGGTCTGGCCCTCTATCAACTTCAGCGCGCAAATTATAGCTAATTATAGCTAATTTGCCTAAAAACTTCAGGTGGTCATAATAATCTGGCCACTTAGTGTATATTTTGTTATAGATAACAGCTGTACCTTTACTTTTCTATCTTGCACACTGTAAACTGCTCTGCTGTGTTCAATAACATGGAAGCACAGACATAGGAAGCTATGTTCGGTAAGCTGACAGCTGTTCTCTATTCTAGTATAACTGAAGAATATAAGTAACTGCTAAACAACCTTAACATGTTAATAATAGAGAATGATGATTGGCGAATGAATTCCCAGACCTCCCTGCAACAGAAGAATCTGTTGAGGTGGATTGTGATGCTCCCTAAGGACATACAATGCAGCTGATAACACTTTGACATTGATGTATATCCCACTTATGACATCACCTGGCAGGGAAACTGGCCCCTCATGGTTACGTGGTGCTGTTTTATTTGTAATATTTAATTTATTTGTTTTACTTGCATACTGTAAGTATATCAGGAAAAGTAAGCAATCAAATGTTGGGAAATGAAGCCAGGGTTGACTGTGTGCTCAGGTGAACCTTCTCCGTGAGAGTGTTAAAAACTGTTATGCATCTCCTTTGGGGGCTTATCCAGATGCTGCTCTGGATAACCTAACAATTAGGCAACAAAACCACTGGGGCCCTCAATCTGTAAACAGAGGGGCCCATGGGAGATCACAATTAGAATGACAAGAGCCTCAGGAGGGGCTCATGTAAAAGAGAAAAATCATGGGCTGCAAAATTAGAGTTTTAGCTGAACTTCTCAGATTGCTGATTCAAAACC